TTCAACCAATCTCCGGATCCAAACAGAGGAAGATGGTGAGCAAAACAGAGGAAGAACAAGTGAATAGATTGGAAACCCAAGTGGAGAACGGGGGAGGCGGCGCGTGGGATTACCTCTGCCTCGTCAGAAAGCTCAAGCTTCGCCGGTCGGACAAGGTCCTGAAGTACGGCTGTTCGATACTTAACGACCCCAAAAAGCGATCTGCACTTGGCCCAGAAGGTATTTGTTTTCCTATCCTTTGTTTCTCTTCAAAAAATTTTCGAATGAATCTTTGAAATTAGATCGAGATATTGGAAATTTTGGACGCTCACATATTTGCAGCTTACTCTCTTAACGTGGGCAAGAGTCAGATGAATAGTATGTGGGTTTTAGTCTTTTAGATCAGCTTGTTCCATCACAGTTCAGTGTCTGAAGCTAGTGCAATGTGATGTTCGTGTCATTCTGAGATACAACGACACTTATGCAATCTGTTCCTTTTTATCCTCAAGCTCTTGAAGTTCCACAATATTACAAATCCAATCGATTAAAGTCGGTATCTTTTTCTCTTTAGTGATGCAACCACTCACTTGAGAGTTGGAAATTTCTGATTGGAATGCATCAATCTGTCTAGTCATTCTTGGTTCAACAGAAAGTTTAGTGCTTGGGGATGCTGTGATGAAATTATTTGTGACAAGTGATTTGCAGCTTTGTTGCCAGTGTTTCCTGTTTCCAGCTGCAGAACTAAGTCGACTAATATTGAATTGTGATCCTTTATTGCATGGTTATTGATGATCTATACAATCTGACTAATAATATTCACTAATCAATTTGATGAATGTTTGCAGTTGTAGATTTTCTGAATCGGCATTACTTGCTAAAGAGGTTTTTAATCCGTAATATCATAACTGTTTTGGTGATATCCAAAAATGAATAGTGTGCATATACCATGTTCCATAGTGGCTAGTTAAATTTTTGGTGATTCAGAATTATAGTTGTGACCCTCCCTACTTCTTCATACAAATTGTTTGATTTACCATTTTTTTTTTTCCTTCCGACTGATGTAGAATGGACTTTATATGAGCAAGTTGCTGTTGCAGCTATGGACTGCCAACGTCTTGATTTGGCTAAGGTAGAGAAATTCTTTTCCCTAAAGAAGCATTTGAACATTGTTGTGTTTTATATTTCTTTGTTGTGTAGTGTTTTAGTTGGTACATATTGCAGTGATCCCACCTCTCGCATTTTTTTTATCCTTTTATACATTCGTTTTGGCCCATAGTTCATTTATGTTTTTCTTGCACAAGACTCACTTATATTCTTGGGGTCTTACTACAACAAAAGAGTTTAGAGTTGAAGGGACAGAGGATAGAAGCAAGTGGAAAGATCTGAACTTGTGATGGAATAATGAAAATCACAAGTGCCCAAAAAGGTTCAACTAATTTCTTGGTTGATGATACTAGGAAAGATATGAATTACCTGTGATGCGATTCCGAGGAAAAGATATGTATATATATATACATATGTGTGTGTGTGTGTGTTTGTGTGTGTATGTGTGTGTGTAATCTTGGAAGGTGCGCTCTGTATAACCAGATTGGGAGACTCAAGATTACATTTTTCTGTTGTTCATTTGCAACTCAATTATGTTCAAGTTTTGCTGCGGTCCTCAATTCAAAGCTCCTTCTGATTGATTAAGGTTATTGGGATGTGGAGGAAGAACTGCCCCTGTGTGTCGGTGGTCCATATTGTTGGAGAGAAACAATAGGATTTGAAAAATTAGTCCATTTTAAAGTGTTGGGATAAAATTGTATTTGCATGTACTGGGACTTCGTGGATCATAATATTTAAAATCTTCAATCATTGTTTGTCTATGGTAATTTCTTGAGAGACTAAATGTTTGCTTTATGATGATATTTCTTATCCACATGTTGTAACTTTTATGCGTTTCTTATATAAAAACTAATAGTAGACATCTGAATGATTATTGATGTCATTCTTAAATGTTATAGGGTCAAAGTTTCTTAGCAGTTACCAAGTTATGTACTTTTGCGATCTTGTCTATTTCAGAAAAAAAAAATAAATGCATATGAACTAGAGATTGTGTAGACATTATTGAATTGACTCTCCGAAATCAAAGCCATCTGTTTATTTAACTGATTAGTTTAGGTTTGGATATGTTAAAGCTAATGTTAGAGTTTGATACTTTAAATCAAAACTGGCTATGAACTATCCATCGTGTCCACGCTGAGAAAATTTGAAATGTATATGTCATTTTTCCTTTGAGGAAATGTTACGTGTTCTGAATACGACCCCGTGCGTTTGATTGGTGACCTTTTTCTGCAGGAATATGTCAGGGTTTTACAGAAGAAATTTCCAGAGAGTAAACGAGTTGGTAAGTTTGAATAACTGATAATATATTGAATCTAATCAGTCTCTATGGCCACAGTTTGTTCTCATAGATCCATTATTTCAGCAATCACATACAACTAAAAGCTTGGGAGTTACTCGGCATATATATTGCAGAAGCCAATTATTATGCGCCTATTCATAATAGGTTTCTTCATTTATTTTCTGAAAGCAAGCAGTTAATGAGATTTCTCGATCATTGATAGCAATTTGAAATTCTTTACCTGATAAATCTTGGTAAAAGAATCTTACAATTCAGCCGGACCCTATTTGTGATCTTCGAAAACGAGAAACCAAGCCTTCACGTAGGTCTCCAGTTATGGTCAGAAATAAACGTTAAATGGTGGCCAGATTTTTTTTTGGCCCCAATCTGATGATCTCTGGCTTCTTTTTTAAGCTGTTTTGGCTTTCATAACATCATGTTTTCGTCTTCTTTGCTTCTGCCTTTTGTCATGGTATTATATTTATCATGTGTAAATCCATTACATAGGCTCAAGTCCTCTGTTAGGCTATGTTGATGCAAATTGATGCTCACAAGGCCATGTTTAGTTCAATCTCTTTAATTTTTCAGGTCTGGTTTGGTTCTTAGTATGCATAACCCTTTAGGAACTAAATGTTTTCAAGATAATCAATTATCACTGCTTATTTTTCGCTGTACGGTTTCTAATTATTCATTGACTTAATGCGTAAGAAGTAATAATCCTTTTAATTTTTTTCTTATTTTTTTTGCATCTACAGGTAGGCTTGAAGCAATGTTGCTTGAAGCTCAGGGAAAGTTGGCAGAGGCTGAAAAGGCTTACTCGAGCTTGTTAGAGGAAAACCAATTT